GTATCTCTGGAAGTTATGAAAGTTACCTATCCCTGTGTGCCTTGGCAGTCTCGATTCCCGACCAAGCTGAACGTTTTGATGTTTGAACGGAGTTTCTGCGATGTTCAATGCGGGAGGAGAAGAGGGCCAAAATACCGTCGGAATAATAAACTTTTCGTCCGTAGAATAACAGTTAGTTGGAATGCTGTTAACAGCATTCCCACAAAACTAGTAGAGTGTAGATTACTAACCTCGCTCACTGGCGTCGTCCACAAGCACGATCTCCGCCAGCAGCTGTCTGGGCGAGCGGTTGATGACACTGTGAACCGTCCGCAGCAGGGTGCTCCACGCCTCGTTGTGAAACACGATGACAATGCTGGTGTTCGGCAGGTCGTCTGGGTACAGCTTGGTCTTACAGCTGAAGAAGCAACAGAAAGAAAAGTAAATCAGTTTAAGTGAACATGTTGAGAATTTTACATCACTGAAATAATTTCCTGTAGTATGCTTCCTAGAGTGCCACCTTTCAAGACCATGTAGAGTTTTAGGCAATGATATATATTGTATTTTTTTGTATTTTCTTTATATATGTAAATAAACTATAACCAGCAGGTTTGAAGGGGGATGCCACACCCCTTGTTATCAAAATGACCAAAATGCATTTCTCTTGTTGAGGGTGAGAGGGGCTGTTTAGTTTAATATTTTAGTTTAGTCAGTCCCATCTCATTGATCCTATCTGAGTGAGGTTTTTGCAAGTTACAATCCATGGCCCAGACAGTGGCTCTGAAACAATTTACTGTGCTGTGTATCGATAAATCCATGGAGCTGTGTGTGGTGCTGAAGTAGTAGAGGGATTTGGAATCACTAAACCTAAAATATACCCGTTCTGAACTTGGTAGTCTAAGACAACACTGCTGTTTCCAAACTGCAGTCACAGTGGTTCTTTATACCCGCAGCTCTGTATTCTATGAAAAGTGAGTGAGAATCTGAAGGTTTCCTGCCCTATCCAATGCTGCCATCAGTGCAAAAATCTTGTCATAGGAGATTCACTGACAAATATCTCTAAGTGGTAGAAAAAAGTAAAACCTGTGTTGACAGCAATGTCAGCAGATCCTCATCTTGATGGGTTGTCTGTCAAAGCTTTAGAGTGAAAATGTTTTAAACTTGGGATGACACAGAAGTGGATGATGTTGAATAAAGAAGTACAGAAGTGGAAAAAGGGCTGCCAGGACAGGAGGAGGGTAGTGGGAGGTGACGGAGGGTGAAAGAAGCCATCGGAGCAGACAACATTTCTAGCTCAGTCCTGTCGAATCAAAGTGACAGCGTAGACTGACACAACTAGGCCAGGAGGGTGCCTTCAAGGCATAATGTTATCGCCGTTCAGACGCAACGACTGCCAACTCCGGATCATTTTCACCACACACCTGGAGACATTTAGCAAAGCTAAGCTGAGTTCTGTAATAAACCTGCTGTAAAATGTATACTGAGTGAAGGATGGAGCCATAATGGACAGAAAAAAAGTGTTGCAATAAGCTGAGTGTTCACCTTTTCTCAGTAAATGAGGTCTTCTTTTGCTAGACGCAAGCAAGCATATTTGCATCTCCACTCCATCTTATAATTTGTGTTTTCTTGGTTCGACAAGAATTGCATTAAAAACTGTGAGAAAAAATAAAATGTTGTGGCTTGCTTTTCATGTTTTTTCTAACTGGCAGAGCCTTTTGCATTCACTTAATGAAAGTGCTGAGGAGAACTGGGGTTCACTTGGAATATTTGAACATGAATCACTCGGATAATGTTTCTACGAGAGGCGAATGACGCTGCATATCATCGGCCCGAGATGAATGGGCTCATGTTTCAAACAAATTCCTCCTTGGATTTTCATTAAGTGCTCAAGTGGATCTTGAGTGACAGTAAACAGTCCAATTCAAATGTCAGACATAATGGTCAAACCTGAGGGATCGGATGGAATCTGCATTGAAACAGTGCCCATAATTAGAGATGCCTATCCACATTAGATAGAGTTATTAACACCAATAACATCTAATATAAAAACAGTTAAAGTTGAATTATTTAATCATTAGAATAACATTGTTTTGATAGTTTAGAGCATTGTATCTGCATCACTGGAGAGACTCTTGAGACAGATCCCTGCACTTGTCTGAATACTGAATAATTTCCATTTAACCTGGAATACAACTCTGCCCACATTAAAGACTAAAATCCAAAGAAATAAGAAGAAAAAAGCAGAAAGCATCAGTCAGAAACTACTCTGCCTTGCAATGGGTAACAAAGGAACAATGATTGCAGGAAGCAAAGAAGCAGGTTGAGGGTTGTGTATTGCTGTTCTGTGGATGTGTGTGTGTGTGTGTGTGTGTGTGTGTGTGTGTGTGTGTGTGTGTGTGTGTGTGTGTGTGTGTGAAAGTGTCAGTAGTTGTGTTTGCAAAATTGATCTGGAAGGCTAGCTTACGCACCCGTCCAGCCTCACGTCAGGCAGACTCCTGTTGAGTGCGATCATGTCGCTGGCCATCAGGTTGAACTGGTTAATCTTAAAGAGCTCCTTCATTTTCTCCTGGTCGTTCTTGGGAATGTTTACTGCCTTGCCCATTTCGCCTGGTCCCTCGTGGCTCCGAGATATCGCCGCTGTAACAAAGCAGAAGCACAGCAAAACGATATCTGATGAGAAACCAAACCCATTTTTATTTTGTTCTCAATAAGGAAGGTGAGGAGTTCATATCAAACAGCATTTGAAATAAACCACTTTGTCCTGTATATACAGTCCATCTTTGATAAGGAAACAATCTGAGAACAACCAATATGTTGTGAAAGCCCACTTTATTACAAAGGCTCCACATCTCCTGTGTAAATGGAGCTCTGAGTAATAAGTACTGACTGACCTCCCTGACCACAGGCTGTTGGCAGAGCACCCTGTTCAGACCAGTGCAGAGAAAAGTTGTTGTGGTTTTTTCAAGAACTTGTGTTTGGCAGTCTTCGACTAAAGACATGTTTAGTCAACCAACACTCTAAATGATTTTGTCTTCAAATCCAGTAATAATAATAATAATAATAATAAATGATATTTATATAGCGCCTTTCAAGGGAGCCAAGGTTACTGTACATGGTGGACAAACAAAACAAACAGACAATCAAAGGGTAAACAAAAAATAAAAGAAGTCGGGTGACCAGGAGAGGGCTAGGGCCCGAAGGCCAGGGTGAACAGGTGTGTTTTTAATGATGATTTGAAGATGTCCAGGGAGGCAGCATTACGGATCTCGGCAGGAAGTGCATTCCAGAGGGTGGGGGCCGCAACACTGAATGCCCTGTCACCAACAGTTCGGAGGCGAGAGCGGGGGATGGAGAGCAGGCCCGTGTCTGAGGACACAATCATGAACTCTGTTTTATTGCTGTTGATTTTGAGCAGGTTAGATGACATCCGGTTTTTTATGTCCTGTAGGCAGTTGACAAGGGATTGAAGGGGGAGCTGAGTGGACGTTTGGTGCAAGAGCACTAGAGCTGTGTTGTCATCAGCAAAGAGTGAAAGCTGAAACCATGTTGGCGGATGATTTGACCAAGTGGGAGCATGTAGATGGTGAATAGGAGGGGTCCAAGCATAGAGCCTTAAGGTACACCTTGGTTGATTGGGGCCGGAGGGGAGCTGCAGTCACTGCAATAGTTGCATAAATCGACAGATCTATCCAACTAAACTTTTCAAAAAAGAATTGTTCGTCTCATTTTCGATGCAGAAAGATTGTAAGACATAAAGTGTGTAAATGTTGCAATTATGTATGTTTGTTCTTATGATGTCCAAATTAAAAAAAAGTAAAAATTATTGTTCAAAGCACAACATAAAATATTAGTTAACCAAGACCAAAACAAAAAAGACATTCATAAACTCAAACAAGGAAGATTGCAAAAGTTGAATCAATAGATTATAAATATAGTGGTGTTTTTGACTACAAATTAAGATTTAATAAATAACAAGAGTAGGAGAATTATCAACATCTGCTGGGAAAAAAGCAAGTCTCTAATCTTGCCTCACCTAAATTGTTCCATGAAAAAAGGGAATGACCTACAGATAAATTCTGAGAAATCCCTTTTATATTGAAAGCATTGAGCATGGTTTATTATCGGTCAATTTAGGCTCGGGCGAGTGCAGTAAAGCCTGCTAGCTCTATCTCTGTACACTTTGTACATTGTAATTTTCTATACGGATAAAAACACAGAGCATAGAGCTTATTTCCTAGATCAATGTGCGTGCACCAAACCCATGTGTTCATTCATGTGCTGCAGCATGTACTGTATGCAGGATGTGCACATAATATGAACATCGTATTCCTTTCAATAACACTTACAATAGAAAACACTGCCATTCTCACCTGTATTGTTAGGCTTTCTCACACATCATCGACTGTGTGAAAAATGTGTAATAGAAATGTATGCTTAATCTCTTTTCTGGTATATTGTGCAGTCTAGCAGTAATATTAGATGTAATGTAATCTGTAAAAAGAGATTATACATTTCCAGATCTAGTTTAACATATTTATTAGACGATTTATTAGTGTATGCTATATGATCATGCCTGAAAAACCTCAGCATTGCTGTGGTTTGCTGCTGCTCAGAGCCAGCTCCCGTCACCAAGGTAAAAAGCCTCCCACGGATTTATGACTGTGCTCTCTTTAATAATCTCTTTGAGCTGAAGCAATGATTTCCATGGTCCCAGGTTAAGAGGATTCCCTAAGACCTCTCGTGGAGTCGGCCGGATTGTAAACCCTCTTCTGATCCTTGCTCTTTTGTTTATGGTGCTGCCGACACTCTCCGTTTGGAAACGGGCTTAAATCTGATGGACACAGTTCGAGCTCTGAGCTGGATGATTGAACAAAGTGTCCATCAAACACATGCTCGGCCTCTCCAATCCATCAGGCTATAGCTACAGATACACACAACATGTGAATGTTAAAAATGTACTCTAAATCTTACAAGCAAAATCATCCCCTTTACAATTATTGCTTTCACCACAAATCCTAATTCGAAGTGTCATCTTGTGAATTTGTAGAAGACATACTTGTGCCTTAAAATTACAGAGGCAAACAATTTCCACTATGGCTTCATATCTGGTGTACAAATTAACTTCATTACTAAGACATGTCGGAAAACATTCTATTTTAACCTACTGATAAAACCAAATGTGATACATGTAACAGTGAAATGTAGCATGTTTGCCATTTATGCTGCTAACTGACAACATATTAAAGCTGCATAAGGCAACACATTCTTTTTCTTGTAAAAGCTTATAATGATACTTTTTTTTAAACCAGTGTTCTTTACTTATTTAGTTATTTCACACATTACATTACATTGACGCATCTTTGTAAAATGTTAGTCTAATTATTTCATTTTTTCTCTTTCATCTGCCATGTCCCTTTGCTGTTGCAACACTGTAAATGACCCTGCTGTGGGACAAAATAAAAGAATATCTGTTTATGACTCTAATTATTCAATCCCGTCTGAAATAACAGAGTAGCTTAGCTCCCTCATTATGACTGTGAATGACTATTCATACCCTAAGCACTTTCTACATCTGTGAAATGATACAAACAGTAGGATGAAATATAAAGACCAAAACAGATGGATCAGAGGAGCCTTGGGGAACAAACTCTCTGTGGTATTTTCAAGAAAGACACAGTATCCTCCTGACACAGATCATTCATTATGAAAAATGACCTTGATCATCTGTGAAGAAAACAGAAGCTCTTTCTGTCCTCGGGTCATTCAATCCAATTCAATGTCCCTGCCTACAGCTTTATCCCAAGCAATTACACTGAAAAGGTTCTCCTCACGCTCACAGGTAATGAGACTTCTGAGACACAATCACTCACATTTTAGCGCAGAACAAAAATAGAGTGCTACATGACTCTCTGTTAACCTTTGCTTTATGTGATTCATCAGATTGTTATTCTCACAAATTAGCAAAACATGTGCAACTCTAGATTCTCCGGCCAACATTAGTAAGTTACAACAAGTTAGCTTTCTCTTTAACAAGATTCATCTTGTTAAGGTGGACTCAGACCTGTCCTCTAGCGCTTTTTATCGTCATTTACTTCCAACAAAAAGTAATGGTGCACAGTTTGGAGCTCCATCAAAAGCTTGATCCATTTTCTTTTTCTTTCATATTTTACCTCACCTCTTCCCTCTGCTGATCTGCTCCGCTCTCTTCTTTCCAGTCTGATGTGGCTGACATTACGTTATATATCAGAAAACCATAGCAGGACAGGGACAAAATGTCAAGAGACCATGCTGCTCTGATACACACCTTAACTGCAACTAAGACTTGGAAATATGTGAATATATTATCAATATTGTGATATTGAGTTAGATATTGTCTTCATAAACATTTATTCAGCTGCTCCTTTCAATCATAAATCACAAAACTGTGAAAAGTTACTGTAAAAGATTACCAGTAGAAGTCTAATCAATTCTCACAGTGGCTGTAGCTGTCTGAGGGCAAATCTCAGACTGATGTGACATACGGTTAGAACTGCTAAATTGAACAATCCTGTTACAAGAGAGCACAACGAAAAATACAGTTTTATTATTCTCAGAAGATTAAGACCATAATGAAAATCCAGTCCCACCAACACAGACCAACAAGAAAATGTAGTACGGTAGGTGATTTTTTCTAAAGCTGTGTCTTTTAAAAAGGGACCCTGATGTGTTTTGCATTATAGCATTTGTCGTTCTGTAGAGAGCACTAACAGCGTGAGAAAATAACAATTTGATCGGTCTCTCAGGAGTCAACCAAGTTTATGAGCGTGCAATACTAAATGAGTTACAATGTGGTGCAGAAAGAACAGAGAACTGGATATATTGATGCGGCAGACAAGAACCTGTTGTTAGCTGGCAGCATCATTTCCTTTACGTTAAAAAGCAGCACGACTCCAAATGATTTTACCCTAGTATGTCAAGCAAACGTAAAACCTTACATAAACATGAAGTGGCCATAAAGTTCCTTATAATCAAACTGGAAAACTCTGACGTTAGGTAAGGGGTGACTGCACTAACAAGGAATTGAATGCATGCATTCCTTAAAGGGTCATTATCAACCTGGCAATGACAGATCATTCACTACCCAAGCATTGATGTTATGGTAATTAGTGTTACCTAACAAAAACACTCAATTTGGGATAAATTGATTCCAATCTCCTCTTGCACTTTTCTTGCATTTTATGTATTTGTACTGCAATGTTTGTAATTTTCATTTTCTTAATGTTTTATGTGAGGGACTGCGGATGGAAAGTAGCTCAAAGCTAAATCTTGCATATTTACACTTGGCACACATTTCATGTTTTAAGTGTTCATTAATGTGCAATGTCCCTGCCAAATAAACGAATAAATAAATCAAAGTAAATCGAGATGTATTGTCGTCAGTTCTGGGCTGAACTGGATTAAACTAGTAAACAACACATGGAATATTAAAGAAACCAGTGACACTCGGTTCATGTGTTAAGCAAATCATCAAATGAAAGCCGTTTGAAAGTAACACCAATGTACTTTGGACTTTGTTATGGTAATGTAATAAGTCTCAGTAGCTGGCAGTTCGCCTCATTCTAACCCTACAAGCAGCTTAGCAAACCTCTGAGCAACCTGCTTATGGCAGGGCATGTGAGGAAATGAACTCCTTAATAGGTAAGGTGGTTTAGTTTGATCATGGAGATCACTTCAAGGTTGCAGAGCATACAGGAAAACAAACTAGATTTTTAGATAAACCTGCATTTATGGAATAAATGAATCTCTCCAGCTTATATCTACAAGATTGTTTGATGTCAAACCATATTTGTATTCTTTAAAGATCAAAAAAGCAGAACAAAAAATTGGTTTAAAAAAAATGTAACTAATCAGTTAGTTATTTCGTTTTTTTTTTTCCCCCACTCTAATAAACTGGAGTTACACAAATTCACCCAAGTTACAAACTATCCTAACTTCTACCAGGAATAAACGCAGATTTAAGATGTAATCTTAAAGTAGGTTGTAAATTGCTGCCTCAAAAGCAAAATGTTTCTGTTTCCACTGAATAATCTGGATGTGTTTCGATTATAGTCCTAAAACATTATCTATTCTAGCTGCAAGTATCTGAAATCAAATTCATCAAAGCTCCATTGTAAATTAACATTACTGCTGGAAATATTGTCTAAACTCAACGAGAGATCTCACTTAACCTTCGGCATAACATACTCCATACTATTCACCAATGTACAAACCACAAATAAACTGGATTTCTTTTTATCCTTTGAGATCCCCCGAAAATGTTTTACATTTCTTCTGAGGAATCTTATAATTTCAACAAACCCTGAATAAACTGAATATTTCATAATCTATCTCCAAGTGTCTGCACTGTGAATGGAAGGTGTAGCAGGATATTTGTGGACTCACCTCGCAGGGCCGGGAGCAGCGAGCGGTCTTTCCTGTCATCACATTTGTTACACTCGCTGAAATAGAGCAGCAAGAACACATCCACCAGCACCCACACCAGAGAGGTGGTCAGCACCACCTTACAGTAGAGAAACCGTCGCATAACCTCCCCGGGACGTCAGCCAGGAGAGCCGAACAAGGGTCGCAGCGAGCACTCAGGAGCACTAGGACTGCTGACGGAGCGTTTGAACTCTGGAGACGGGGTGTGGAAACAGGGAGGAGACGGAGCAGGTCTGACCGAGAGGCGTCATCCTGCAGAAGAGAACAAACATTCAATCAGAAGCTGTTCTCCTAAATCCAATGACGACAGGAATCATGATCATAATTTGAGTCTCCTGGCTGTGATTCTGGATGTACATCATGAAAGATGCAGAAACAGGAAGTCAGCAAAATCTATGAGTGTCCACATTTAAAGTGGATCAATATTCGTCTCTTGAAAAAGTGATTAGTAATCACTTCCTCTCAAACTTCGCATTTATGCAATTCATAGGTATACACTATCAGATGAGATTACAAAGCCTCTACCTATTTTATTTTTTTATATTTGTAGTTTAGTGGAATATAACATTACACAAAAACGTTAAATAGATAAGACATATCAAAACAGTATACAGTGTTTTACAGAACAAAACAAAGGGAATGAGTAAGATTTACAGTAATACAGATGTGCAGTTTAATTTACAATTTTGGGGAATAACAAAATAATACTATTTGTATACATGTGAGGCAGGAGGACAAAAGAAAAGAGACAGAAGGATATAAAGTGAAAAGAAAAGCGTATACAGAGTAGCAGGTAGGCCTAATCTAAACTGTGTCATTAAAGCAGATACTATACCAGATACTAAATTGAGAGTTTAAAAAACCTCATAATGGGGTGCACCGCTGGTTTAGGGATTAAGGGTTAAATTATGTTTGTCTGATCCCAGATTGGCCGGATGGGACAGCTCCACATTGAAAACAGTTGCTCTCACTGTGTCATCAGAAAATTCTGCCTTTGCACATTCATCAAATCACTGTGTGGGCCAACTCAGTTTGTAGTGCCAGTGCAATCCCTGACATCAAGTTTCCTGCATACAAATTATCCCAGTGAGTTCCACTGCAGAGAGGTAAACTGCATTTTGTTTCTATTTTAGGAAAAAGCAAAACAGAAATAGGAATCAGCAGATAACTTGAGTTGAGGTATCAGAATCATATCAAGAGGTCGGATCAATGCATCATAGATCAAGATCAAGATATGTAAGAAGGGCATTTTACAGTTGAAAGTGTACGCAGTGGAATCCCCGTTTAAAGCTATCTCACACACTATGTTTGGATGTACTGCAGTTTATGTCCATTATTGCTCCACAACACCAGTTCCTACATATGTGCTAAAATAGAATCATATTGGGTAATGTACTGGCCCAGAATATTTACCAGTAAAGCTCAAACACACACCTACTTGATAATAATATTGATTATAATAATGCCAACTAGAGTTTGTAAAGGTTTGCACTCCAGAAGAGCAGCTATGAGTGGGGTCCACCCAAGGTTTAATTTATCCTTTTATAGATTTATTTCATAGTTACTGTTTGCCTTTATTTTAAAAAGGGGGTTAATGGGTTTCATTGCCTCTGGTCATTTTCACGAGGGGGATGGTCCATTGGAGTACACACCCAACTGCCCATATTAGACTGACCCCCAAGCCCTCCACATTTTCCATTTGAAAGGATGAGTGAATGCTCATTTCCCCCTTTGCCGACTTCTACCACTTCATCAGTAGAGCTGCTCGGACCATCTGGGAAGCTTTCACACCAGATGCAATTGGTGGAGTCTAGATATCTCATTGGTGTGGAATGTATGCCTCACAATATTTCTGATAAAAAACAACACAATTTTCTGTCAAACAGGATTTGTACTTGAATGAAATTATAGGGTTTTGTTGACTGAAATCCAAAGCTTATGAAAGTACAAATAGAATGGAAGTGGAATGAGGAGGGAGAAATGCATTCAGCCATAGAAATCAAACGCACAAGTACCCAGTAGCCTTTTAGGCATTCATAACAGAACTTTAGGCAACAATATACATCACACAGGGGTAGGCACCGAGCCCCTGCACAGGCTCAAAATGTAAAATATACTTTATTGAAGTTTTTGCATAAGACTGTGCATTTATTTGCAAATGCATTAATGTATAGCAACTTTTGCAGCCTTTACATGTCCAACTAGTGAAAAAATGCCTGCAGCATATTTTGTGGGAATCTAATGGATTCCCTTATCTTTCTCATACAGAGTGGTAATGATTTTGCACTCAGAATGTGCGCACACATTGACCTCTCCGCTCACTGTCTAAATGTCCATCACAGGGTCCGACACCGCTGCCCTGGGCTTACTCTTATCTCATTCAAAAACAAGGCAGTGTGCGTACGGCTGCATTAAAGATGTCAGACAGAATTCACACAACATTTACTGACTCCTAACCCGAGTAGGTGGACGCAATCCACACTTACAGTTAATGAGTGTATTCAAGAAAGAAAACGTCTCAGTAAAACTCTGCTGAAATCCGAGTCTGTGTGTAGCATATCACCTCCTCTCACATGGTAGACAGATCATTGATGATTCGGTGTGATTCTGTCTGTTTGCATCTCTAACCATCTGCTTTAGTGTGTCAATGACACAGACATGTTTGGGTTTGGTACCACCAACTGCGCTGCCAGCAGCTTGCTGGAGTCTCGTCCGAAGAAGTCTGAGTCAATTAGTCCGACCATCTGCACAGAGGCATATTTCTTCTCTGCTTTACACCTCTAAAAGCAGGTCCCTCATGTCTTGACAAGCCACTTTTCCAGTATATTCAAGGCAAGTGTTATCCACCGGGCATTAATTGCTTTGTGAAGTGACAGTTAATTGTCCCGTTAGCAACTCCTTTTGTTGTGAAATGTCTGTCGCAGGCCTATGAGCTAAATCACAGATTCTTCTTTCAATCAATAGGAGTGCTTGTACTGTATGCAAATGACAGACTGTTGACTAATTGGTGTCCAAAGCAATACAACTGAACTTGACTCTGGAACCATGGCAGTAATGAGCAGCACACGTTTGAAGACAAAGCCGGAAGAAAAGGCATCAGCCATGACGCAAAATAGCTTTCGGCTGTGGATAATTAAGGGATGGACTTGCTCATGGGTACTTCAGAGGATGGTAGGGATTCAAACCTGCTATTACCAGCATTTTTAGTGTCCCAAGCAGAAAGTTTAGCGGAGTCAGACATCAATACTTTTTGAGTGCAGTACAAACTGCACCAAGTGGCATTAAGAACTGGAAACTGTCAAGACTTAAAATATGGCATTGACTGATCAGTCAACATGTCAATAAATATATATATATATATATATATATATATATATATATATATATATATATATATAACACACACACACACACACGTACACACTACAACCTGCAGTCCAGAAACATCTTTCATAAATGTAATATCAGCTCATACATGCAGTAGGTGACATGGTGTAATGATTAAAACATAAACTACAAAGTAAGCACAGACAAATCGTCATGTCACACACATGCAAAAGACACTGTGACTTTTACACAGCCACAAATAAGTCACTGTTTCCAGTGTATACCTCAACACTGTGTCACACACAAACAAGCAACAAACATGCATCATCACTTTGAAGCACTGACACCCCAGGCCCGGACTATTGTCAGATAACAATAAAGCTCCAGGCCTTCCACAGCTCTGCCGCCCATTCCCACAGTGACTGTTCCTCCTGCTTTTTGAACCAGAGAGAGAGAGAGGAAACCTGTTCCTGTGCCTGCTCAACGGCATGACAAACACACTTGCTCACAGAGACGCACGCACACATCAATCAGTTGGTGAGTCACCTTATTCATAGGACGACCACTGCACAAAGAAAGAATGCAAGGCCTAAAAATAACAGTCATCATTCCTATGGAATCTGCAGCTCATCCATGTTTGGTTGGCCTGCAAAGGTTCACATGACCCCTCTGAGTCAAGTTGAGCTGAGCTGCTGTGACCTGCTCAAGTGTGTGACCTCTTGGGGAAGGAACTGTATTGGAAATGTGGAAAGAAATGGTTTGGAACGGCATGCTTCTGTTTGGCAGAAGGGGTTGAGCAAAAGAGTGGCGATAGTGCTCAAAAACACACACACACAAACAAAGGCCAGCTGGTGCAGTGTGTTTTAGTGAATGCTCAGTGAGCCTCTGTGCTTGTGTGACATGAAGCAGTGGAGAAAGAGAACTCTTGCACAACCAGACACATGGTCACGCGTGTGTACACACCCCAACAAACACACATTTATAATTACCTCAACACAGGAATATTTTTCAAACCCACTACTGTATTTCACCCTTTACTCTCTAGTTCTTACATTCTTAAGTAACAGTTCATAGTTCACTGATTATACTTTTTTGCACGAATATTGCATAATTTTTCACACTGATTGCACAGTATTGGCTTGCTTGTTTTTGTATACACGTAGTTATAACTTGGGATCAGTGTCTCTGAGCCCAGCTGCTATGATGTTGTTTATGGAGCCACGCTGGCATATTTTATGTGAATGCTTATAGCTCAGCACCACGAAAGGCTTTATGGGGGTGAGTCATATCCACATAACAAACAAGCCCAGCATGGGAAAATATCATAGTGATGTTAAAGCTAGAGTTAAGGCTCATACACTGAGGCTTTGTACAAACTCGTTCACACTTGAGGCCTAACATTTGGAGAGCAAACACCTCAGGTGCCATACAGGAGGTCTGTGGAGAGATTGTTGCAACAACCGGTAATAAATGGCAATAAGAGCTGAACATTAGGGAACAACTGAGTCAGAGAAAGAGTTTTAAAGATTGTTAATTATTGTCTAAAACATGTGCATGCTTGATGAGGCAGCCATGATAAGTAGCAGATGATTTCTTCATTCCTCTCACATGGTCGGGTTTTTTCAGTATCAGCAAAATCTCAGAGCAGGAATTCTGAGATTCATGACACCATAACAAGCACGGGGAAAAATGACATAAATGTTTGCGCCATATGCTTGCGCAGTCTTCTTTGAAAGATAATACAGGAGGCAGTTTCATCTGAGCTGAGCAGGAGTCGGTGCCGTTACAGGATTGCTCAACGTGGTTGTGTGTCAGCAGGAGGCTGGATTGGTCGGGCGGAGTGTTCGAGCTCTGAGCTCAACATCACCGGAGCTCACTCACTCTCCCTCTCTCTGAGTGTGAGGCGGTCTCTCTTTCTCTCTCCTTTTCTATGTCTCTTTCTCCATCTCTCTCCCTCTCAGTCTAGACTCTGAGGGGTAGAGATTTTCTCACCAAAAGTACACAGACCTCAAAGCCACCGGCATTCACTCCAAAAAAGGATTGGATTATCGCTGAAGTTTCATTTCTAATGAATCTCACACTGGGACATGGAGTACACAGTTTGTAGTTTGTTTTAAAAAGGACTCATCCTAAAGCAGTCGGGGTTTCGTGTTTGCTTTGATGGTGAATCGGTCTATCAGGATGAACTTGCAGTGGAGCAGCCCGGCACCCTGCATCCGCGCCGGGAGAGTCGCGCACAAGCGGCTGGACTCTGACGACCAGCCGCCGGCCAAATGCGCCAGGCTGAGCACCGAGGTGGGGGACACGCAGGGTCTCCTCGGCACCTCTCCCGGGTCCCCGGTCAGCCCCGTCTCCAGCCCTGTCCCGACGACCCACCAGGGGCCGTCCAGGATAGGACCGTTTCTGCTTTTACCTCTGACAGACCGGGAGAGTGTGCACAGCGCGATGAACACCGACACAGGCGACGAGCTGCTGTGCAAGGTATGCGCAATCCCGTCATTGTGCAATTTCTTTGAATGAATGGTGTTTCGAGACATCGCGTTGCTCAATCGCCTGTCTGACATGTCATCAGTATTTAGCCGAGTTCCCCCCCAATTGTCATTCTCACGCGAAATTGCAGCAGTTGCTTCATTATTTTTGAAATCATGAAATTAAATTGTTATTTTAAAATCTGTTTACAAAATCCCAAAAGGCCAGGCAACCACTTTCGCCTGTGCCGTGTTGTGGATACACAGCTTTTAAAATCCACCGATCTCCACACCACAATGTGTCTGTCAACTCGGCTCATTTGCATACACGTCACTGCAATACTCCATGCTGTGACACACAAAATGCAAACATGAGGGGCAAAGAAAGACTCCAGTGATAAGGATCTGCTTTGATAAGGACAGGGTCTACCACTGTTCCACATCCTTATGTTTATTTTCCATGATAGACCTGCAGGCGTTTGGCTTTGTTGATTAATAAAGTTAATCACTGCATGCTTTGGTGATTCATTTGTCATGCTCTTGCAAAAGCAGCGTATTGAGCTGGAATCAAAGCATATTCTATACGCCTGATTTTCTTTTTTAACTCACTGCCAAATTTGCACGCTTGTACCCTCAGATTATCATTACGAACACACTGACCGATTGCCTCATCCCCCCTCACACAAACTCTCCCTCCCTATCTTCCTAATTTCCATCTCGATCTGTGTCCCTCATCTTCTTCTACTACTCTCCTCTCCCTCTCAGGTCTTTGATATGGGGGTGTACCAGGAAAAGATCAGAGCCTATGGGATCCTACCAACTCACAAGAATGTGGCCGGCTTCAGGGACATCATCCTTGGCGAACGCAAAGCTTACGTGTTCTTGGACAAGGACTTTGGGGACATGCACACCCTGGTGAAGAGCTGGCGCAGGCTGGACGAGGATCACGGCTGCAGGCTCTTTCGTCAGGTGGCTCTGGCTGTGGCACACTGCCACCAGGCAGGCATTGTGCTGGGTGACCTCAAACTGCGAAAGTTTGTCTTTGCTGATGAAAAAAGGTGAGAAAACACACCAACACTACCCTAAAACATCGTTTATCCACTTGTTACGCATCACATTCCTTTTTCTCCGTTTCCTTCAGCGCTTATAGTATCAGTTAACTTTATTTGGATACAGAATTGAACACATGCAGTGATGTGGGACGAGCCAGTGAAGGCAGCAGCTGATACACACAGGCCATGTGTGCAGATAGCAATGTGGGCACAGATAGAGTAGGAGGTTCTGTACTTGTGGAGGCAGACTGAATAGCTTCCCAGATTTTCGCCCTCTGTCTGTCTCCCTTTCTCACTCTCGATACGCTTCTTTGCATGTCTGTTGTGTGTTTGCTTTGCATGCGTGCGTGCGTGCGTGCGTGTATGTAGTGGGTGGCTGTTTGGCAGAGCTGCGAGACGAGGCTGGTGAATGAGACAATCGTCCCCTTCTGCTGTCTATATATTTATTACTCATTATTTATTAAATAATTACATCACAACTTTGCTGCAACAAGGATTCATTCAAACACACTGGCTTCCATTAAAGGAATTCAAAGCACTCCCGCACACATGCTGCTTAATATTTGCATGATGTACACATTATGTCCATGAACACACACACAAAACCCCTGCTTACAAAACTATTTGTCAGCTCTTTGCCCTTGCGTCACACTCTTTCCTGTAAGAGCCTGCTGATGGCAAACAACCCACCCCCCCCCCTTTCCAGGTTTCCAAAGGCCCTTTTTTCATGGAGACTTTTCAACAGTAATATTCTCCAGCCATGACCTCTGGCTTTGCGGGGTCACCCTGGATGAATGAGAGCAGACAGCCAGTGAGAGAAGTTGAAGTCCGTTGTGTCCCTCTGATAGCTATACGGCTGCAGAGCGATGAGTCACAGTGTATATGTGCAGAGGGGAAGAGGAGGGGGGGCTGCATGGCTCATTTTCTTTCTTGGCGTTTGTGAGTGTGTGTCCATACATGCATGTTTGTATGAGCGCTGATTACACATTCAGAGCAGGCTCAAAGGCCTTTTTTCACCTGTAATTCACTATTTTGTTAGCGGGGTGACAGCTTTGCAACACTGATGCTGCTGGAGCCACAAGACCCATTTGACCCTGGGGTTGTGGGATGACATCTTCATTTTGAACTTCTCTTTACACTTTGTCTGGAGACATCCTGCATTGCCACTACAAATAACCTTTTTGTATTGCAACTGTAACAAAGGCGGCAGATTATTCTGATAGCGTGGAACTTAGAACACCTTGGAACTCATCACACACACAAGTTTCCTTGAAATGTTGGGATCATTTATCCCATCATGTGGTCTTTCAAATTCACAATCAGGCATCTATCAAAGCCCAACTCGCTGTGATGCAATGCACCGGCCAACAATGCAGCACTCGAGCCAGAGCGAGAGAGAAAGTCACAACAATTTGTCAAATGCTATCTACATTTACACACACACACACAGTGCAGTTGGAAAAGCCAGTTTAGGGAAGGTGACTAGCACTATGAAGCATGCAGCCTTCCCGTGCGTCACTGATGTGGCAACAGCCATTTGAGGGTAATTATGGGATGGCTGGCGCCGTGAGTGTGGGACCCAGGTGCAGATAGCCGCCGCTCGAGAGAGAAAGAGAGGAAGATATGTACTCTCAACAGAAGGATGAGTCACTCCTTCCACCCCTCTAACTCTCTCTGTTCTGTTTCCTTTTCGGTCTGCGTCTCTCCTTCTCCTCTCATGACTTATCTCCTTCCCTATCTTGGTGTTTGAATATCAGTTCCTTCCTATCTTGGTCCTCCTGGCTGTCACTCTTTTCATCCGGCTCTCTGGCTGTCTATTTCCCTCTCCAGCCACTCTGTCTGACAGCTGAAGGGTCTCTAGATTAAACTGTGTGCGTTTGAATTGATAAAACCTCAATCAGCGTATTAGTCTGGGGAGCACATCTCGAGAGGCACAAATTAAATTGGAATCAAAAACACATCACGTTTGTTGCTGTAGATGAGAATTAATCACCCATTTCCCATCAATCATTTTGTAAGAGCGTTTCAGTGGTAATGTCTCTATCTGCAAATACACACTTTCACAAGCTTAGTTGCTCTGGTGCTGTCCACTCATTAACATGTCTAAATATAGCATTGTATGTGTGAGAAGGGGAGGAGGAGGGTGCTAGAGTTGTATATTTATATGTGTGTTTATGTGACCATGTGTGCCAGGAAGTCGTTGGAAATGTGCATAGGCAGCTCTGATTCTCAAACGGGACTAAATGTGGTCCACTTAGGTCATAGTGAGTTCACTGGTGTGTGTGTGTGTGTGTGTGTGTGTGTGTGTGTGTGTGTGTGTGTGTGTGCGTGTGTGTGTGTGTGTCCATCTGTTTGTCTGCTGTGCTGCTTAAGGCTCAAGGAAGGATGCTTGTTTTTCCATGATGCAATCAGTGACTTACATTTAACAGCTCTCTGAAATGTTAGACAGTGTTGAACAAAGTCTCTGTTAGATATAGACTCACACACACACACACTCAGTGGTGCACTCGATCGAGGATTGTTTTTTGCTTTAAATATTGTTGTACAAGGGATATCTAACGATACCATTTCCAACAACAACTTGACATACTGCAACAAATATTTTGTCTGATAAATGCAGATGTATGTGCCGGGATGAACATTTAGTTCTTAGGTTTTAACATGTGATTAAGATAGCTGAAGCCCTAAGTAGTACTTAATGTCCTTTTGGAAAGGAGATTACCAAATGTTTTGGGGAAATAGTTACAGTTAGTAAGTGTGTAGCTAAGATAAAGCTATTTAAATCACATAATGTTCCTTAGAAATGTCCTGACCTTCTTTTGCCTTTCTCTTCACAGGACACAAGTGAGACTAGAAAGCCTTGAGGACTGCCGCGTCCTAGAAGACCCAAACAACGACTCCATGTCCGACACCCACGGCTGCCCTGCCTATGTCAGCCCAGAGATCCTCAGCGGCTCTGCACCTTACTCTGGCAAGATGGCCGACATGTGGAGCCTTGGGGTCATGCTGTACACCATGCTGGTTGGCCGCTACCCCTTCCACGACCCCGACCCCGCCACGCTGTTTTCCAAAATCCGCAGAGGCCAGTGCTGTTTGCCAGAGGGCTTGTCGCCCAGGGCCAAGTGTCTGCTCCAGAGCCTGCTGAGGAAAGAACCCTCGGAGAGACTCACGGCCAATGAGCTGCTCGCTCACCCGTGGTTCCACCAGCCGCCATCGTCGCAGGAAGTGGCGCTGGGTGAACAGGAAGTGAGTTCGGCAGAACAGATGGTGCCATCCTTTGACGTGGAAGAGCAGGATGATCTGTTCTGCTGACGGACTCGATTAAGCTGAGTCTGGCTAAAGGACCAAATCAAAGATTGCTATAAGGGATCCATCGTTGTCTTTTTACATTGGCACTTTTTAGAAAACCCATTTGTGTACTGTTGAGTGTACATACACCCTCGAGCTTTCTACAAGAACTTACTGTACTGTATTTGGTTGTCGTATGTGTGTTACTTGTGTAAGGGCATTGTTCACAATGATAATACATTGTGTTACTAGGTGTACGATTTTTTTTAATATTTGGTGCTAAAAGAAACGACGAGGACTTTTCCAGATTATGTTCACAAAATAATCCCTTCAGGCTACTATGAGTGTATCATAGAAAATGAACCCACGGCTAACAGTAGTCACCAATGCTTGCTCTCAGCCTGGACTGACAACGCTTCAGAAAGCATTACAAGAATCCTGCTCAACGGGAGGAGACGTGATGTTGTTCCTCTCACTCCCTGGCCGGGCTGGAGGCTCCGCCAGCTGACTCACCAACCGGCTCGAGGAAGGCCTCGCACAAACTTGACATCTCGCAGCAGGCGGTGTCATAGAGTGAGAAAGATGCTTAGCGGAGGACTGATGTGTCACACTCAGCGGGGATGCTAGGAAGATCCCTCACTGCCAAGCTGGCAACGTATCAGCAAATGGAGAGAATTTACAAATCTCACACCAAGCGCAGAAGGTTGAGAAAGGCAGGGTGTCACTGGAGTAAAATTCACAGAAAAGTGTGGAAAGTTTGTCACACACACACACTTCACAATAATCAGTGTCACTGGGCCGACACAGAAAACGGTACAAAACTCAGTAATTTATTTATTTTTAACAGTTAAAACTAAAGCAATTAAATTGTTGAATCAAGAATTCATTATAATAAAGTTGCATCAGCTAATAACAGTGCAATTTTAACTGGGATCAATCTGTTTGGCTCTTCTGTAATGCTGTAACACTAATGCCAGTTTAAAAGTTAATGCGGTAAGTAGGCCTGGTGACATGCCCTTGCAGCAACAGAGATGATTGGATAAATCTTACGCCTCAAGGCATGCCACAGTAGGAATTAAGTGGGGAAAGTAAAAACACGGAGAATGTATAATATGGTACTTCCTACTGACGCAATACGAGTTAACTCTCAATCCAACAATGTTTGTATTTTTTAAGAAATGTGTCAAATATCCAGTTAAGCCATCAAGTAAAAAAGAAACAGAGAAATTAAGACTTCCACTTAGAAGTTGAACCTGTTTTTGTTCATTTCTGTTGGAACATTATGTCAAGCTGAGTTGCTTTCACAGAGCTGAGCTGTGCTGAGTGTTGTGCCCGTATCACTGTGTTTCATAAACTGAATGGCTCTGAATCAGTCGCAGTCATATCATATTTGATGTTGGTTGTCTGATGATGACTCAACACTTGAGCGTGTCTGCAGAGAACAGTCCTGACCTTGGCTGGAAGAATCTGTTCCGACTGTTTCGCTTCTTTAAATGGTACTTCTTTCCCCCTTCCTTTTTATTTTCCCGTTGATGTGGATCCATGGAAACTAGTCATATAGTTAGTGACATGAATTGACTGCATTCTAAAATATGTTTTATCTTGGATTGTGACAGGCGGATGAAGCGCTTCAGTGACGTTTATCCTCACAGGCTGTAGACCTGCAGTTAGCTACATTTGTTTTAACCCTAGCCACAAAAATGTGGCATATCTGAGAAGCACTGTGCATTCAATCTTTTACACAGTAGGCTGATAAAACAATCTGTTGCAGTTCTCTAATTATTTTCTCTCATCTGCTTGAAAAACCAGATGGTAACCGACTTGTGACAATCTGAATTGTCCCTTACAGAAAAGTAATTTAAGAGATTTATGATTTTGTTCCTGAATCATATATGTAAATTGAGTCACACATTCATGTGATACGTAGAGTAAACTGACACGGGTGCACAAACTTCATATTGCACTGTGAATTATGTATTTGTGACACAACCTAGAGGCTTTGAAATGTCTAGACAGGTTACACAGGAAATATATTCATTGTACAAAATATGTAAATATGTATATTTCAAATATGTGTGAAGATGTTGAATAAAGATCACATTTTTTCATATTCACATTGTTTGTTTTTTCATTAATGATCATTGTATGTCTCCCACACACACCCATGCAAACACCTGCACATTTCACAGCTTGACTGCATGCCTAGAAGTCTTTCCTGCAAGAATTCTCTCCACACAGCTCTTCATCACTGCGGAAGAAAACAATGCATTTTCAATTTCCTCCTTGAAAAGGAAAAAAACAACTCTCCCCCTCTCTGCCTTTCAACATTTACTCTTCTCTGACCTTTGCGTAATGTAACATTTAACTCCTCAAACACACAAATGTCAATAGTGGGTCAGTGTCTTTTCCTGGAACAAGGGGGAGCATGAACCCCATCACTGCTTTGTCCTGAGCTTCAGCAGTAACCGGTGGAACTCATCAAACACTGAACACCAACGTTATTAAATCTCAAATATTTTCCTTTTTTCTATCTAATCCACTTCGGCTTATGAATCACTGTTTGACCTATAAGAGCTTGGCATGTCTCCACCGTCGTTGTGTTATGACTACCTTAGGCATGGCTGGCTGTGGCTTGCGTAAGCGCTGTGTGCGTGTGTTAATGTGCATACCTGCCTGTGTGCGTGTGTGTGTGCATGTGTGTGTGTGTGTCAGAGCAGAAAAGTCAGATTAGGTATCAACAGGTTAGCTGGTGTGTCTCAGTAGCTGGGAAACTGCCAAACTAGCGATTGCTTAACACTTCAGATCTGGGCTTCTCGGGGGGATGTCAACACGGCCACCAAGAATTATGTTAGCATTAGGTCAAGTAATGAATATCTGAAGAATCGTGTGTGTATGGGAAAGGGTTTGTTTGAATAAAAGAGTTGGTTGAGATAAGGTGTGTGAGAAAACGTTATACATAAAGAAGTCTTTCATTAAAGGCTTTACAGGTTTAAAGATAGGGAAATAGTTTTGGGAAATAGGCTCATGCCCTTTCTTTTTGCGAGTTGGATGAAAAGATTGACACCAGTCTTTTGTTTGTAGCCAACACTTAATGTAATGCTGGATGCTGGTTAGTTTAGCTAGCATAAAAATAAGAAAAAAACTAAACAAAAAGTATTTAAAGTGACGCTGGTGAGCATTGTTGTAACTTTAGGACAAAGCCATGTTAGCTGTTTCCAAGTTTCCAGTCTTTATCCTAGGCTAAGCTAACCGGTTGCCAGCATTAGCTTCATATTTACGGTACAGAAGTGAGAATCATCTAATTTAAGCAAGACAGTGAAAGAAAAGATTTTCCAAAATGTCAAATGGTTCCTTTAAAAAGGGTTATAATAGAAAAGGTCATGGTTAGAAATCAAAAGGTAGTCTTTTGTTGTGAGGAGTAAAATAAAGTTAGGTGTTCTCCATTGTTTGTCTGTGTGATCTCATCCTAGTCCCTTGACCACAAGTGTAAACTTTATCCTTCCTTGTAATCAGGAATCATTTAAGTTTCCCCAACCACATAAACCTTTACATAACACGGTTCACAAACTTCCTTATTGGATAGACCAGAGTGTCATCGGACACTTCCTTGATCCTCCATTAGCAAACCTCTTTTGATGAAAGAGAAATTACAGAGAGAGAGAAGTTTCTGGTATTTCAGGGGAAGTTTGAAGCCATTTAAGGGCAAATTGAAAATCTGCAATGCTACAGTTACATCTTCTATGTAAAAACATAACTTTGACAAATAACTCTTTTTTTCAGAGGAAACCTATTTTAGTTGTTTGAAAGGTGGACCACACAGGATCAGGGGATCACAATGTCAAAAGGCCCTGCTTTACACACATAAACCACACAGGGAAGTGAAGAAGCAGATCTGAGATTTGAAAGTGGAGCACCTGCTTCAGTCTGAGATGAGGTTAAGTATTGTGTTTCTTCCTGGAACTCTTTGGCACTGGCAAACACTCCACTGATGCAATGGAAACGGTCTCCACTATTTTAAATAACTCTTGACCTGATTTATTTCACTATACAAATCCCTGAAGGAATGAGCGCTATTGTGTTGATATTAGTTTGGTGTAGAGTCTGACTGCTTGTAATAGGGTTGGTATTTACAAGTGTAATCTTAAATCTCAAAGGCATACCTTTATTTAAATCGTGTCAAGTTGTGATATCTTCTACCATCTTGTGGCTGTAAGGCAAACTGCAGCTTTGTGGCAAAAAAACATGTGCTGTGATACGTGTCCTTGTAGGGTATATACTGTTACACTCCTCTGTTGCTCTTCCCGATTGTTCTTCTAATGTCTCCTCAGTTAAAATGTGTTTTTGTTCTTGTTATTTGTTTATTTCTGATCTGAAACGCATTTTAAAGAGGACTTTATTGGCCATTATTAAAGCCATTTCTTTAAAAAGGCATTTCTAAGTTTGCCTTATTTGGAAAGTGCATAACAAATATTTGTAATTTCTAATACAGTTCTGAAATGAAACTTTATTTTAAAAGGAAGCCCACAGAAGAAATGTGAGATATGGCTGCTTTTCTCATTTTATATTATGGTGAATTAAATAGCTTTGTCAACTACAAAAACAAGCCATCTGAAGGTTTACACCTTGGATATTTAATGCTATTTTCTAATGATTAATAACCCAATCAATCAATTGATTAAAAGGGGCTCTTTTGGAGTATTTCACAAAGAACAGTGATGTCCTTGAGATGTAACAAATATGTTGAAGGCATTTCGTCCTTCAAAGTAATGACATTGTTTTGAACGTTTTGAAACCTCTATTGTTTAAATTCAAGCTAAGGATTGGCATTTTGCTGCGATCCTTTCCACATTACTGCCACCTGTTGAATCGTGAAAGTGTAATAATGGGAAACCACTACCAGACGTTTGTATTGTGTTCACTGTGCACAAAAACAAACAGGAACACACCCATCCAAACATAGCTTTGAAGCCCTACAAATTGTCAGAAGCTCTTTTAAATGAGAAAATAATCAGTCAGTAATAAACACAATCGCTAGGTGTTGCCCGAGTAAAACGATCAAATAGTATTATATTTCTAGACCAGCGTGAGACTCTATTTGGAGGTAAATAAGAATCTTGAGTGTTGTCTGAGTCAACAGGCTCTTGTAAAAAGACATGAGGGGAATGTTTGTCTAAGGAGGTTATTTTGAGCAAAGTGGCCCCTGAAGGCTCTGTCTGTGTCATCACGATTGTGTATTCAGACAAATAAATGGAAACCGAAAAACATTCAAATGTGACGATGACAGAGCCCTGGGATGACCATTTTACAGGCTTTGTTTGCCCTGACTTCTTTAACTCGTGTTAATCTGTCATTCAGTGCCTGGCAGGTTCCCCTGTGTCTGAGCCCTAAATCATGCCTGGACATTTAAAATACATAATAATGCCAGCTTGCTCCTTAAAGCCTTGTTGGTAAAGGTGTATATTAAACAGAGCTTAAGCTAACTTGATACTTTAAGGATTCCCTCCCCACATCAGACTCCTGAACACAGTTTATGATGACTTTGTTATGACAACAAAAGTCCAGGAGAGGGCGATGTTTTCATGCACCTGGCCAGGTTGTTCTTCATCTTTGCAATTTAATGACCCTGTTTTACATTAGAAACAGGTGGATCATAAGAGCAATATATCATGGTATGGAATTTATAACAAACAAGCATTGAAATACAAAACAATGTAGTTTGTTATAGGTAAACATGCACATGTGTTATCAGGAACAATTCGTCTGATGAAATCTACATAACTAAAGAACATCTGATCACTGAGGTTTTTTTTATTGTAATAGGCTGGATGATTGGCAGTCATTGTTTCCAAAGCAATTGAAATGCATTCCCACCTATATTTATATTTTAGGCAAACATGGTACTACCTCAGATTTGAGCTCTATGGGGTTTTGAACAGCAGCAGACCAAATTTGTTTAAATTGTTTGGTTGTAAAATCGTCCATCTGTCAGCCTTTCTGGCCTCAACTTAAAATTGTCGCCAGATTATCCAATCAGCGTAAGAACACACGTAGAGCTCTTAAAAAACACGCTTTAATAAAGCTAATGAGAAATGTTTGAAGAATTCTCAGCGGCACCTCAAAGTATTCTGCTCTGCAGAGACGTCACGTGTGTGGTGTGAGTCAAGGATATTTATACAACAATTATTGTCAAATTTTATTTTACTCTTCAGTGTCAG